GCGTCATCTACGCATTTTCAAGCTCCTCTCTCCCACTGGTATCTTAAAGGCAATTCCTGCGAGTGCGCATCATAGGTAATACAGCTCGAGGACAGGATTGCCGTGCTAGTTTACTTACTGAAGAAGATGAAAGCATGAAAAACCGCCCGCAATAAGACCCTGTTTATTGCGGCTGAACATGATCGCCGGGCGAGCAAGATAAGTAAGCTAATAAGATGGTCGAGATCAGGTGTGATTTTCAAAAGGCGACGACACTGAGAAGAGAGGAGAGAGACCAGCGCCCTGTGTTTTTCGCCAATTTTCACCTTTTGAATCTAGTACAGCCTCTGCGGTTACCTACTTGGTCATAATGCACTGACTGACTTTCTAGCCTTAGTTTATCCCTAACCATGACTTTAATATTTGACCCGCATGCTGCACCAGTCTTTGGAAAATGGGAGAATGAAATGGCAAAAGGGCCAGGACCAGGTGAAATTGTTGAGATAGTGGAGGGTTTGCTCATTTTCCCTACACAGTTGCACCCCATTCACCCATCGCAGTTTTAAGACTGCCTGCTGTTAGATTGGCGACATCCTGGTTTAGGCCGAATATGAGCCGGTCCTGAGAGAATTCATCAGTCGGTTCTCATTCCTAGTTCAACATTCCACTTGCAGATTGTCGATCCAAACGTTGATCCTAAGCCGATTGGAACATCAACGGAACGCGGACAAACTCTGCTTGCCACAAAAGGAAACTGCGCTCTTGACACGAAGTTGCTGGAATCGCTGGAGCGCATTCCATCTTCAAGAGAATCTCTCATAACAAATTTCAAACTCATGAAACAATCTTAGCCATGAGGTTAAGAAAACATAGTGCCTTGTAAATCTTTGATGTTTCATGCAATAAATAAATATGCAAAAAAACGAGGTGTATGGTAGGATAATGCCAGAGATGTCATATGGATTTGCCACTAAAGATCAAACATGAAAAAGCAGGCACTGTCGTGAAATAACTGCAGGTGGCAGTATAAATCCCCAAGACGTAGGACTAATACGCCTAGCAGCACAGATCGGCGCCTCCAAGCAGGCGGTGCGTGGTGCCTTTTCCGAGTACGTTTACAGCACACTCAAATGGGCTTATGCTCAGATTATCAGGAATTACCCTCGGTCTTACCTCCATCTTATCAGCCATGACGTTTCCTTGTTGCCCAAAGGCGGGCTTCAGTTCAGCACCTCAAGACCAGAATGTCGTTGTATAACGGCGCACAGTGGGCGCTAATGCGAATGGCTGGGTACCACGCGGCAGTGCTACATACACTACAGTATTCACTGGCTAGTGGACTAGGCAGATCAGGTGGTCTACGGACAACTCCAACTCAATCCCTTTAATCCAGCCAACTTTTTTCTCTGCACTCTCACAGCTGCATGTGTTTTATGACCATTTTGACCTTGCGCATTCCTATCGTGTCCGGAAAGTTCCGAGAAATTTCAACCAGCTCATTAACACTTATCAACAACAATAAGAGATAGAAATTCATAGTTATAATGAACATTGTCCATCCCATTTCCCTTACCTTTTGGGCGGGATTACTTTGCGTGGGAGCTAGAATGAAGTGAGCACCAAAGAGGCGGGGATGTACGCAACATGTAGGCCAAACTTTCACATATGTAAGGGACCGATTGATCTCCTATCACAGATAATTTTTGAGCGCCTTCTATCAAGCATTGCTGAAGGTGCCTCATTTCCCGATTTGACCGAAAGAGCAGCCAGAACGGTGAAGATGAAGTAGAAGGAGTTGGGAGTCGTGTGCGCTAGCACATTTTTCAGGTAATGTCAACTCATACCAACAATGGAGAATAGCACCAACCAGCATTAGGATTATTAACAGCATTAGAAACAAGCATTTATCTTTCTCGTAACACTTGATATACAGTCCTCATCATTGCGGACTGTCGGAGGGCGGCTGTGCAACGCGGTCCAAATGGGCGTTCGGCCTCGTTGCTCTACCAATGGCGATCGGGTAAAGATCGATTTAGGGA